TGCATTGTGCTTCGGTCCTCCAGCGCAGATCCTATTATTTAGGGTACCATATTAGGGCCCCCTATTTTCGGAAACCCCCACATTGCAAGGCTTCTCCACTTCCGGCGGGCTGTGCTAAGAGGCGCTACAGGCGAGGCGGGCGGCCTGAGCTTCAGGTCTGCTGGTGCTCGGACTACGTTCTCAAACTCATGATGGGGGTTTCCGAAAATAGGGGGCCCTAATATGGTACCCTAAATAATAGGATCCCTATTATAAGGACCCACAAAATAAGGTACCCCTAATTTTCTGAAACTCCCTGATGGCGAGAGGGAGTAGGGTATGCTGACGAACATGGCCGTCGTAGCAGACATTGAACTAGGGCCGGCTGGGAGTGATGATGAGGACAAATCTGCATATGATCGATGTGACGATGGTGCTTGATCATCATTGGTGGTGGCGACCATCATCATCACCATCGCCACCACTATCACATCGTCGTCATGATGTTGTGCGGCTTCGGGTGGTGGCTTTCCTTCAAATTCTTCAAGCTGTTTCTGTTTCTGCTGCCACAAAGACGAACAGACGAAGACCCCCAAGTACTGGGACCAAGACCGTCGCACTGTGTAAAACTCAAACGCGTCCTGCGTGTTTTTAAAGTGCTCCTGCCGAGCTGTGAATCCTCGCGCGTCTGCTTTTTCTGCCCCATGATCTATGTCCCCGTCAGTCGGCAGCGTATCTGCCTAGGTGCACGAACGCAGCATGGCTATTCCTGCAGAGAAAACAAGACCGAGAAAGTGTCGCATTCCATGTAATCGGAATAAATAGACGGGATCAGCCATGCACGTTGGAGGGCCTGAAGATGCTCACCGCGTAAATGCCACGTGATGCACTCCATACATTATTCTTGTAGCAGCAGGCCGCCCCTGGACAAGGTGTCCAGCTCTTGACTGTGCAAACCTAGCCAGCGGCTAGTTGCTTAATTGCTTGTGAAACCCCCAATAGTTGCAATGTACAACATGGCAGCGAGCCATGCAAGAAACCAGGCTAGCGCAGCCTGCAAAGAACACGAACTGAGCCCGGGTCGTCAAGAAATGACCATGCCGGCTTCTGATTTGCGCCTCTTGGACATTGGCTCGTCCGTGTTACCCACGGCAGGCTGCTGGTGCATGTCTGCGGCATGGGACCTGGTCGAGCGCGCCGGGGTGGCGAACTCGTGAACGCGGAACCAAGGCTCATTGAGGGCTCCTTGGATGCTGATGCGTTCACGTGGGTTCACTTTCATGAGCTTGCGGATGAGGTTCTTTGCCTCCTCAGAAACTTGCGAGAACTGGGGAACATCGAACTCCCAGCGGCCATTTTGGATCTGTGTGTAGAGGCCCTCATCCTCGAAAGGTGGCACACCACACAGCATGATGTAAAGAATGACTCCGAGACTCCACATGTCCACCTGCTTCCCATAGCCTGTGCTGGGATCCTGGGCTGTGCCAATCACCTCGGGAGCAAAGTATTGTGGCGTCCCACAGAATGTGCGGCAGTCCATGGACTTCTGGTTGATGCGCGCGAGCCCGAAATCTGCAAGCTTGGGGATCATGGTGTCCCGGTCCTTGTTGGTAAGGAGAATGTTTTCCGGCTTCAGGTCTCTGTGTACGAGAGACTTCGTAACATGGAGGTACTGCACGGCGCCACAGACCTGGCGGAAGATACGCACCGCCTGCATCTCAGTCAGGCAGCCTCCATCCATCAGGTTGTGGAGAAGATCTCCGCCAGGGACGCACTCCAGAGCTAGGTACATGTGATTTTGTGTCTGGAACCATTCTGAGCATGACACGATGTTCGGGTGCTGCAGGCTACTCATCAACTCTGCTTCATCATTCAGGTTCACGCCCGAAGAGCGATTTGACTGAAAGTTTACGAAAGTCTTCTTGTCGATGATCTTCACAGCGCACCTCAAGCCAGGCTTCAAGGCTTCCGACCTCCCTTGCTTGATGCGTATACCCAGCTGGACGGAGCTAAAGTGGCCACTGCCCAACTCCTCCCGGAGGCTCCAGTTTTTCCTTACCCAATCATCTGTGACCAAGTTCCGAAGTTCGCCATCTCCATCTGCATCTTTGTCCGCCTCCACAGCTCCGCTCTGTGTCATTGAGCCTCTCACGCGGAAGAAGAAGGATGCGAAAGGAACCGCGTCGGAGCGCTTTGTCGCGATCGTGATGGTGTCACCATGCTTGAGACTGCGGTGCTCACCCTGCCTCGTGTAGTCCTCATTGATGAAAGTCCCAGCAGCGCTGAGCTGCTCGACGAAGTAGCGTAACTGCTCATCACGATAAATCCGAAGGTGCTTCTTTGACACATGTGAGTCCTTTGCCCGGATTTCACACTCCGGCGAGCGCCCGAGAAAGGCTTGATTCGTGCTCTCTTCGAACTTGAACTCGAACTGCTCACCAAGCTTTGTGGAGACCACTGATGCGTGGCCGGTCACCACGTCATCCTGTGACACCACAGGGAACGCCTGCGTCGGGCCCTGCGTTGCCTGCGTCACAGACTCGGACTGGGACATGCGAGCCTCTTCCACGAAAAGGTCTGCCATGAGCTTGGACAGCAGCGCTCGTATCTACAGGCCCTCAGACTAAGCGACGCTGATAGCTTGATCACACGGGTAGATTAGAACTGCCCTGAAGCTGGATGCTTCCTATGCACCACCACATGCGCATGCACATGCCGGGCTTGGCAGCTATGTGGCAAACATCTGAAAGTCTGAAACCAACATCTGGATCCGCTATGCCAGAAAAGAGGCCGGAGGCGCTGGCACCGCTGTAGAATTCGAAGATCCGGCTGTCGACGTCGTAGCACCTCAATGTCCATGGAACATGCCTTCAAGCAGCATTTCTCAGGGCCTTGTGCCGGCCCGTGCAGAGTGGATGCGATCTCCTCCTCTCTACGACGTGTGACGGGGAAGCATTGCTACGGCATCTACATGCATCTGCGGACGTTGTAAGTGCGGAAAGTGGTTGGTTCGAAGGTCGAACTTCCCAGAAGCAACACCAGAGCTCGGGCTTCAGTTCTATGCAATGACTATCATGCTTAGACCAGTGGAATATTTTCGAGTTGTGCAACTAGAGTCGGACCCCCACGCCGTTCCCACAGACAACGTCTCTGTTTTGCTTGCGGATTTCGCATTGTGTATGGCATGCGACGTAAGCCTGCTGTGTGGCTGCTTTTTCAACTCTCCCCCCGTTATGTTCACAGCGGCTTCTGCGGTGAGTGCAGTCCAGGCACAGCCCTTCAAAACGACAGCTCCGCTTGTCCCACTCAGTTCCCCAAAGGTCCTGTGGCGACCGGGGGTCACTGAGAAGCATGAGTCGCGAGCAATCTTTCGAGGAGTTTCGAGCCCGGCGTTCTTAGTTGAGCTGCAGGGACTCGTAATACACTCACCCAGAACTTCCATCTCTTGCGAACCTGGCAGGATCCGCACATGGACTGGCAGACGTGCCATGACGTGCAACTCTCGTGTCCCTGTATGCGCCCACACCATGAGGGGCCGAGTGCAGCTAGTAGAAACGTCCTGTACGGAAGTCAATGTGGCAAAATGTCAGAGAGCGTCGCTGCCCAATGCTATAGAGTTTTTGTGGCAACGTCTTTGTGACCCCTGCGCGAAGTCCCCTCCACGAACCCTTGTTGCACGTTATTGCTGGAAAACCCAACTAGCCGTCACGGAGAGCTTTCGTGAGCACTCTGGTAGCAACCCAACTAGGCAATAGAAACCTAAGTGTGAGCAATAGAATCCAATAGAACATGGCATGTATTTGGTCCACCACTCAAAATAGCAGCGGTACTTATGGAGGCTCGGCTTATGTTAAGACAACTACCATGTTCCTTATGATCGCCTGGCTCAGATCTCCAACACCCGGCGTCAGCCCAGAAGCCCTCGAGGCCCTCGAGCCTGAGGAGTCGTAGGATTGCAGAAAGCCCGTGAGATCTGAGGCGTGGGAGCAAGGCGCAAGGCAGGCAGCTCCGGCGACTCTTCCTGACCTTCAGACCAGGGGCAGCTGAGCGTAGACATGCCGAGCTGCTTTTGTGTGATTCATGCTTTCGGGCAATCTACTTGGGAGTCTGTCTTCATATCTCAGCCACCTACTTCGAGCCCCATCCGTTCTGACTTTGACTTTGACTTCCTAGCAAAACAGTTTCCTGAAATCCTAAAATAAAAGGCCACCCAACTTCGAGGTAGTCCATGACTCTCCACAGGGCGTGCTTTCTTCTCAGGCTGGTGGCGCTGTGGCTCACAGCGCATGGGGAAGAGCTTGGCGGACCACGCGTAGGTACGGTGAAGCGCGGAACCTGTTGCATGGCATTCCTACTACGCTGATCTTGGCCAATTTCTCGTGTACTATCTGTTTTCGGCGTGCTTGATTTCCGAAATTCTGTGCAAGGATTTCTGAAGCTTCATTGCTGACGGATCTGAGGATGACAGGACGTTGCGCCGTGCTGGCTTTGGCGCTGTGCAAGTCCTCAACTAGTATGTTTTTATTCTGAAGACGGTTGCCTATTTTGCAATGTCTCTGCTTCAGGTTATGTCTTGTAGTGCTCTGTAAGTATATAGATGCTCCTCAACATACAAACACGTACGAATATACATACATACATACATACATACATACATACATACATACAGACAGACAGACAGACAGACAGACAGACAGACACACATACACACATACATACGTACGCACATACATACATGTATGTACTTTCAAGTAGTGGTCACCACGGGGTAACTAATGACTGTTCAAGCGAGAGAAAGAGAGCGAGACAGAAAGAAGCAATCATGCAATTGTCGAAGTTTCACAGTGAATCCGCTCAGCACAGGAAGGATCTGAGTTTAATCTTGTAAAGTCAGGAAGCCGTCGGAGTGACGCTATTACAGGCTGAGGAAACAATCAAGAGTCAGCTGAATGCTACAAAATGACAAGGACGGAGGGTGGGAGGGAGGAGGGAGGGAGGGAGGCAGGGTGGGAGGGACGGAGGGAGGGAGGTTCAGGGATTTTATTTGCTTGCGGGTTTGTTGCAGCCCTAAACCTCCCATCTACCCCGAATTGAAAAATGTTCAAAACACGGGATTGACTTTGTGTTCATCTTTACCCCTACATATCGATCTGCTCTTGCTCCTCTGGCCTGCTCGGAAGATCCTGAGATGCCCTCGTGTCCTTCATGACTCCTCAATCATACCTTCGGTCTCCGTCAAAGCTTAGACCCCAGGCCGAAGGCAGGCGCCTAGATCACCGTAGTCCTGTTTCCGAACCTGGCCGAAGGCTTTCTGAGGCTTCATTCTACTTGGGGGGGTTCTGATCAGGGAGCTCGAGGCCAGCAGTAGCTTTCCCAGCACCTGTACTTGGAGGATCACGGGACTTAGTAAGTAGGGTTATAAGTACCCTAGTTGGGGTTATAATTATAGTTACCTTATTTATAACCCTAGTTACTAAGTCGCATGATCCTCCAAGTGTCATGGACATATCTGTGCTCACTCGGCCCGACTGTGCCCTGCTTTACGTCGAGACAGGGATATTAGCTGGAGCGCATGCGGCCGGAATGCCAGCGCCAAAAACAACCGATCAAGGCGATGTAATGGTCACAGTGCCCCAAAGACAAAGCCCCTAACCTGCACAAAAACATTGCGAGCACTTTGCGAAGGCTGACAGTCCAGGCCTCAGCCAGGAAAGAGGAGTGGTCTTTCGGCAGTTCCGCCGTCCGGCAGGTGGAGCAGTTGCCTGGGATTCGCAGCTTTTCGCAGCAAGTACTTTGATTTGCACAGGGCTTTGCCGGGAGGGGGGGCGTGCACATCTGCGGCTCCCAGGCTTCAGGCGATTTGAGCTTTGGGGCTGTGTGTGGTTAAGGCTTTCGTATCTAGCTGCATTGAGACAACAGTTTGGCCTCTCGTTTGGCCTCTGGTTTGGTGGTAGTCTTACACTCGGGAATTCTATCGTAGGTGGAGCTCCTAGCAACGAAAGTCCACGAAGCAGAAATAAAACGACATTTACATTGCGACATCCTTTTTCCCACAGCGGCTTGCAATCCTGAGTCTGATAGGACATGTAGGCAGCCACAGCAATCAGGGCAGTCGGAGTCCTTACCTGGTGCGTCAGGGCCAGGGAGGGATGTCGGCATGCCCGGAATGAGCATATGGCTGCCACACGGAAGATCGCCTTCGAAACTTGAAGGGCCGCTTGCAACATAAATGTGATACGCCTTGTCCGCACATCGTCAAAACTGTGAATGACGCAAGATGCATGAGCCATGAGCCCGGCATCGCGCTTCAGAAACAAGCTATAATAGGTGCTCCCAAGCAGAGCACGGGAACGAGCTTGGAAATGCGGTGGGCAAGTCGCTCATGTCACTCACACCATCAGGAGTGCATCCTTCAAGGTAAAGTTGCCCGTGGCCGTGCCGAAGTCCTTTGAGTGTGGGTGCTTCGAGCCACACTCGCCCTGGCAAAGGTGGATGTCGAAGGTATAGGTGCCCGGACGCCAGATCACAGGCTCATCGCCGGAGGTGTCATCCCTCACCTTCAGCTCTGCACCCAGCTGCATGGCACCCTCAGTGAGGCCTTTCGGCAGGAGAAAGCCATCCGAGATATGCGAAGTGACTGGGCCGTGCACGGCGACGCGGAACTCGCCTACGCCGAGGGCCTTGGTCACGTTGACATCAGCCAGCAGCTTCACGGTTTCGCCCTTGGAGATGGTCGAAGGCGAAGCCTGGATGTCCATAATGCGTGCCGATGCGTCGTCCGGGCCTGCGTGGCAGAGAGTCAAGAGCTCGCAGAAGTAGATGGGATCCAAGTCCGTGTGGTTCAGGATGTCCACGAACTCCTTGATTCCTGCCAGGTCACAGGCGAGGTTGCAAATAGTCTGCTCCGCCTTGCCAGGCAGGTGGCTGCAAAGCTTCGAGCAGCTTGTCACGACACCCGCATTCAGAAGGTAGTTCAACAGCAGGTTGATGCCCTGGGAGCCGAGCTGCACGCAAGGCGAGCATAGGGCGCTGGGCAGCGCCACTTCTGGCGCCGTGGGGCTCACAGGGCGCAGCAGTGGCGAGGCACCTGCGAGCATGGCGAGGGCGAGGACAGCGAAGACGCGCATCTTCGTGGCAGGCTTATGAACTCGGATGCGTGGGGCACGAAGCGACACTGCAAGCCCAACTCAGCATGCCAGCATCACCTGCAAGACCAGCGGAACCAAGTTTCCAGCATCAACAGCAACTTTCAGAACCGGTATGTCGATTTCACTGGACAGATCTATACAGAAGAATCTTATGATCTTGCGTAGGACTATGATCCCTACAAAGGCCGCAGCCATGGGCAGATTCCAGTATGCCAGAGATTCGAGACCCTTGCATGGTAATGCCTGCGCTCTTGATGACTGCTTCTGGGGAGGTGTTCTGTCCTCGAGCCGGACTTTGTGCTGCCAGGAGGGCGGTAAAAAATGCGCAGCCCGATGCCAGCAAAAGCCAAGATGTCACCGCGCCAAACCAGCAGATCCTGTGCTTTCTGCTGGTCGCCTACGCCATGCCAAGAATCCTACGGGTGTGCATGTAAATCCGCGGGAAGCCCATTTCCGTGTCTATTTTGGAGTGGTGTATAAACTATTGTGTTGTACGGTCATAAAAACCGCGAGGACTAGTTTTAGTAAATATGAGAAATGATTGCGACTTTTAGTTTAACCTGCTTTCTTCCATGATAACTTTCAAGGCTTCCCGACCTGCCTGTTGCTCTGCGCCTTCTCCGAGAAGCACCTGTTCGACCAACTCTGTCGGGTGATCGCTGTTACTCAGTTCTGCTTGCAGTTGCTAGAAGGCCGAGGATATGTTGGGTGGGCTTCATTCTGTATCGACTCTCATCAGGATTTACTAAGTGGGTGCTTTGGAGCAGGATTACAGTTGAATATTTCTTGGGAGCGTTTTCAATCCCTGGCAGGTCTGGGCTTGGCTCGGCACACGTGCGATCTTGTCTATGTCTTGGTGCCCAACTACATAGACCAGCTAAACAATGCGCTGCATCGTCCTCGAATTGGAGACTCGGCTGTGGAGTACATGCGTGATTCGGTATGTTTGGAAACCTGAGTCGGCGATGACGCAGCTGCAGTGTGCCGGAGTCCCGATACCAGCACCATGACGATGGTGAGGACGACGATGATTCTGATGCCGGTGCTGGTCACAGTGTTCCAGGCTACAGATGGCTGCAGTATTACCGGGCAAGTCCTTACTTCTACTATGCAACTTTCTAGACTTTACTTGAGGCCGTACCTGAGTTTGGATCCAACGCCCTCCAGTAGTCCCGAAACCTCATCTTCCAATCCACTTTTCAAGACAATGCGGCTGGGCACCAGCTCGCCGCGACGCTCAAAGCGCCAATGCCCGTCGACTCGTTGCGGTCGGAGGAGGATGACGTCCAGGCGCAGGCCCTTTTTTTACACAGGCTTGATGAGTGCTCGCCCGGCCAGATTCCGCGCAGCACTTCGCACTCATAGCACATTATTATTCAGAAAACTCAGTCAACAGATACTGTAAGTAAAATCTCGCGGCTAAGTCAACATAATCTTGACTTTCTTACGAGCTAACCGGTCGGATACGCTGTTGAAGAAACTGATAAATTGATGTTCCTGATAGATCGCGTCATGAAGCAGAAGCCGCCTTACATCCAGAATCACCGGAACAACGTCGTAAGGTGAACTTTGATGGGCTCAGAGAACCCAGATGCATGTCTGAGCAAGCAGGCCCGAACTGGTTGTTTCTTCTTGTCTGCCTGACTAAGTGTGGCTAGCCGAACTGGTGTTGGGAAAGCAAACCCTATTCCAGCTTGGTCAAAGTACCGGTATCCACTGCATGCAAGGACTCTTCAACTCTTCAAAAAGTCGGCTTCTGCAGGCAGGTTCTGGACACGACAGTTAAGGCTTCATCTTTCCAGTGCACAGATTTTCACAGATCCTTTCCGGGCAGCCATTGGCCTCATCTGCATGCAGCATTGCGTTCACCTTGATGTCGGTGATGCGCCCGTCTGCCGGCATCGGGTGGTCGAGGTCTGCGAAAAACACCGGCAGTTCGTCATAACCTTGGCATTGCACAGGTTGACTACGGCCAAGATCCCACTACGGCCAAGATCCCAGTGGCATGAGATGAGTTGGCAAAGCAGCGCTTCCAGTACCGTTTACATTGAGCCTGCATTTGCTCCGGTGCTCGTGTGATGGAACACTTACCACTCAAGCCGGGCTGCTGGTCACGTCGACCTGTTCTCCGACCTGAAGGAAAACAAGCCATTTCATAAGAATTTGCCTTCCTGGCCGCCGGCCTCCTTAGCTTGGGCTTTCCTGCTCTGACACTGCGAACCATGGCCACGTGCCTGCATCGGCTCGGCCTCCTTGCAGCGGAGGCCGTGAGCTTCCAAAGGCTGAGATGCAATCGAGGCCTGCGCAAAGCTGCAAAGACGTTGGCTGAACGCCGGTTCTCGTGCCAGAAGTAGCGAGCAGACAAACACAGAAACACCAACCAGCGACTGTGGCCAATGATCCCGAGCCCGGAAGTAAGCCAAGGCTAACATTCACTGTTCAAACGCAAGCGCAAGCCAGCCGCTCCCATGCCTGGGGCCATTGATACATCGGCTCTAGCACCTGACAGTTTCCGTGGGCCTTCTCAACCACAGTCCCATTGGGCTACTGGTAGCTTCTGTGAGAAGATGGTCGGGGCTTCTAAGGCTCATCCAAGCCGACTCCTGGAAGACCGGTACTGCAGGACTGCAAAGAGGCGAAGTATGAGAAAACAGAGTCGAAGGTTTCACAAGATCAGGCTGAATACCCTGCCTCGCGAAACTCGTCAGCTTCCCGATCCGCCTGACAGCCGGGGGGCTCGAAGTCGCACCAAGCTCCCAAACTCATCACAAGGACAATTTGAACAGGACATGTTCACTCGTGACCGTGCCTGCAGCATCTTGCCACCTCGGGCGTTGGGATAGCTTCCGGGCGAGCTACAGAACAGCCCAGGACCCAGGACCTTCGTGTCTTCAGTACACCCATGCGGATCGAAAATCTGGAGCCTCCACAGCGAATCGCCCATTCACTTCTCTTGCTGGTGAGCTCACATGGGGCGCCTACGACGGCAAAAAGTCTCAGCAAAGGCACAAGCTCCAGAGAGGAGATCTGACACGACATACTGGGGCAGGCCAGTGAAGTAGCCAAGCACCCTGGACAGGAGATGCTTACATAAACACAACACAATGACACATGTACTTAAACAAACGCATAAACGATGACATGCATGCACAAACAAACCAACAAGCAAGCAAATCCGCTAACCACTAAATATGCAACTATAATAACTACACCATATCAACGATAATCTACAAGTAGGCAGAGGTGCGTACGTTATATATATATATATACACACACATAAGCATGTGTGTGTACGTATGTATGCATGCATGCATGTATGTCGAGGCATGTATACACACCAAGCTCACCAACACAAACACGATGATGCAGAAGCGCTGGTAGACACACGAAAAACATAACTCTGATCATGTCATGGCCTACTGCCTTCTAGGCGCGCCGCAGCTTATGGGATGTCTTTCCTATGTGCGGCTCGTTTTAGTTCCAACCCGAGCTTAAGCTTACAAACCTCAGCCGCGCGACGCACAGCCGGCTTTCAAGGGCTGTCTACACCGAAGGACTTCTGCTGGATTTCTTTATGTTTTCTCTGGGTAGCAGCTACCTCAAACCCGGCAGCTGCAAGAGATGATTGAATCATGTGGTGAGTTGATTAGCTGCTACGCAACAGTGCTTTCTCTGGCGCCTTGGTAAACGGAACTGTCGCGGATCACATGGCCGGCTCTGAAAAGGAAAGAGGACAAGCAACCTTCTCTTTGCATGTGCATGTGTCTGTGAAGTGGCAAGGCTTGTATAAAAGTGCCCCGTCCACGCACCGATTAATGAGAATGCCTTGTCTTCGCCTACGTTGTTGCATCCTTAAGTTATAGCTGCAGGTACAGACACACATAAACAACTCGATACATATACATATCTGTAGGTGTGTGTGTGTGTGTGTGTGTGCGTGTGTGTGTTCGCATATACACATACAAACAAACACACCCACACACACAAACACACTGCACACGCCAATCCAATCTGAGCCCGGGTTGCTGGTTCGCCGTGAAGCTCGGCATGACTTCGGCAACGTCTGCGATCAACCTCTCTTGCCTGGGTACGAATGCATCTTCGCAATCAAGTTTCGAGCTTTAGGCGTCCTCAATGGCTTGGGTTTTTTCGGAAATGTAGTGGACGCACAGTGCAACACAACTACGAGACAAACAGCTCCCAGCATGCACCCAAGGCACTTGTCTTGTGCCTCAGGTGACAGTGGGTTCTGCAGCAACGTCTGGCAAATGCGCTGGGTGACCACGATGCGGCCTTCGAAAAGGTTCACATGCACCAACAAGTTTGTGCAGTCATGTGCAACCCCGGCATCCTAGGTCCTTTCATCTTGGACGAGCTTCTTGACTGGACTTCATATCGGGAAAGACGTTTGCTCTTGGATCGATGTCTGCACCAATCATTCGAGTCAGCAGTCAAAACCGAAATCATGGTGTCTGAGCATGGACTGGGGCATCTTGAGCTAGCAGCACAGACATGCAAGTAACTCATCTTGTACGTAGGCATGGACGGAGTAATTATGTAAACGTATATCCACAAGCACATGCACACATATCCTGATGTACACCCCTCGGCTGAGCCTGACGTGGCCATCAGGGTTCTCTGTCGACATATCTTTCAGATTGGCGGTCAGTGCTGTATATACCTCAAGCCCTCTATCCCTCTGATTATGTTCTAGCTGCTTGAAAACAAATGTCGCAAACGCTTCGCTTGTCTGAGACTGTGCACAGTTTTCAGACTCTGGACGCTCGCTGCCTAGCAGGGCAACTTCCGCGCAGCTGTCTGTCAGCACGGGCGCCTCCAGCTTGCTTCGTTTCTACTTAGAGGATCATGGGACTTAGTAAGTAAGGTTATAAGTCCCTTAATTGGGGTTATAAGTATAGTTACCTTAGTTATAACCTACTTACTAAGTCCCATGATCCTTTAAGTACAGGGCAATTTCTTTGATGGGTTCGAGGCCGCGGGGCTCGACGCAGGCTGAACAATTCCCGTTACGTTCTGCCAGGTGCAGATGGTGCCACGCAGAACTGCATTCGATTAGAGTCTTATTTGTGCTCAAGCACGTCCCCAAGGCCTGATTCGCTATGAGCAACTCCACGCGCGTGCCAAGAATCCCATCCTGCCGATCAGGATTTTAGGTCTCGTGTGCCTGCCAGAGCAGTTGCCTTTCCGAGAGCTTGCAACCTAGATCCCGCCATCTTCTGAGCGCGAGTGGGCGAAGCTTCACAACAAAACGGTGAACCAATCCCCACTTGAGACCCTTGAAGATGGTCTGCTCAACCACATGGGCAGGAAGCAAAGGTACGAGCAGAATTCCAAACGGGTAATGGCATCAAGTCACCCAGCGAGAAGACAAGGCCACGTATCGAAGCATGGGAGGCAATTCAGGTTCAGGATGTTGACACTGTCCTGCATGGTCTGCTCGGCGGTCTTGCCTTCCATCCGAACTCGAACCTCTTCGAAGTAATCCCGGTAAAGGTCGTCACCCATGCAGTGAACCGGCTCGACCAACACCTGGACTGACATCTGCGACGCTTCCAGAGAGGATTGGATCATGACCTGCGCCTCGACATCGAGCTCTACCGGCGCACCGGGGAAGATGTACTCCTGAGCACTCTGGAAGACCAAACATCTGGTGGACCCTGTGCCTATAGGGCCTTGGGCTTCTGCATTGCCAAGATAAAGGAAAAGGAACTCCGACTAATGGAAACCGCGGATCTGCGGTATGGAGACGCAAATCGGCGCAGCGATGTCCATGACTTCGGCAGCATGACCTGGGGTTCTGGCTTGCAGTTGCAAAGCGGTTGATGCGGTTGTGGGTAGGACCTCAGCATCTGTAGCTACTGAGAGATGTCCTGGTACATCTATCAAGACAACCGGCGTGGGAGGTAAGAAGATGCGTCTGGACGCGCCGGCTTTTCTCCACCGTGAGTGAGTCAGTGACGCGCCATTCGGCGATCTGAATCGGCTTGATCAGTGCATGTCTGGGTGGCCGACTGCGTGACACGATGGCGTCTGCCGGCAGCAATCATTTGCTGTATCTAGCACTCCAGCTATGACTATGAGTTGTTTGTCAAGTCACTGTCAAGTCACTACCAGCAGTACTGCAGATTTGCCTGCAACAGTCGCAAACGAATCTTGTCCGCACTGGTTGCAGTCTGAGGAGAGCAGCCGGCTAAGTAGCTCATCCCGACGTCATCGGATCAGCAGCAAACGGACGGCTGCTGCTTTTGGGAGGCTTCGGCGGCCCAATGCGGTACCTTCGAAAGGAAAGAAGCTTTGTAAAGTTACCCATAGGCCCCATAGTAGTTCCTTTGTTGGGAATGCCTTATAGGATTCTAAATATGAACCCCAATAAGGAAGTGCTATGGTTCTGGTACCGGATCTTACATGCCGATTCGGATGGCCCAAGCAGTCTGCGGTGCGCCTTGTGTCCACAGGTCTGCTTCAGCTCTCGATAAGCCGTCCTTAGATTCTGAGATTCTCACAGGTTCTCAGATGCCCACGAGCCCGTTAAATCTTGAGGTTGGCCCATCGCCTAAAGTGAGGCATGGCAGGTAGTAGCAGCACTGACGGATGCGGCTTCGAAGCGGCCACGGCAACTTGACCGGTTTTGCCTTCATGAACACCCCATCCCCTCCACCGGGAACCCTGACGGGCACAGGTCAGCACCTGAAACTGTGTAACACCTTATACCTCCGGCCCTTAGATTCCGACCAATTACCAGATAGCATCGTCACCCTCAGCAGCACTAATGGCACCATGTCGCAATCAACGTCAACAGGAACACCCACCGCATCATTGCCACACTCCACAGTAGGTCTCTTCCTCCTGCCCCTATAGTCAATAGTCTTCTTGCTCGCTCTTATGATGCAAGCCGATGGTCTGCAGTTCCTGGCGCCTGGTGTCGCTGATGCCCCGCTCGTTGAGGAACGTCCTTGCCTGTCAACTCTTCGGAGGCTTGCATGAGTAACGTAGGGGCCTTAATAATTAGAATAGGTTTTTGGGGTATAACAAGGCACAAACCACAAATATCGCTATTGGCATGGTGCTGTTCCGTGTGATAGAAGAAAGTTATATGTCAAGCACAGAAAGCACAGACACGTCAACACGCTGGCAAAGCAGGGCTGAGCGAGGCAAGATGTTCAAAAAGTGTAAACCATGGATGTCGCCCAAGTGCTGGCAGGCTGGCAGTAAGCCATTAGTGCCCGTCCATACGTGCGATACCTACTTTGGCCCGGTACAAATAGAGCTTCAGAACCCTGTGGCTGGGAAAAACACTGTCGCTCTAGATAGCTTTACTTAACTTTGGTCATTGTTTCGGTCGCTCGCCGAAACAATGAACCTGCAATGCGCAACGCTTATACAAAGACCAAGGCTTTAACAAGCAGTGCAGGATCTCGATTGAAAGGCCTTTAGTTACTATAGTTGTAACTGTTCACGTGTAAACATTAAACGCGTTTGGAGGGAACCTGAAACACAAAACACGAAGACGAGCGGGCGGACTTACGAGCATACCAGCATGAACTCGAGCCTTTGGACAGTTGGCCCAGCCAGGCAAGCTTAATTGCACAACTCTGATCCATGCCGCACCAAAGTTGCAATCTTGGGATGATGCTTTTCAACGTCGATTCGAGTAAACTTTGCAGTCGATTGCAGCACACGCCGTTCTCGTTCGGATTTCGGTTGTGCTGCTCGGACACTCGCAAGTAGAAGCCAAGCTCGCCCCAGTGACGCCTTAGCCGTAGAGAAGCCAAGCGGCAATATCACCATCCAGAGAGCCGATTGCCTTGATATTTTCGAGGATGTGGTCACAATGTACCAGCGCATCCTTCTTGTCTATGCTCCTTCCCAGTCCGACAAGTCATTGGCGTGATCTGGCACGGTTAATGTGTCTTTACAAGCAGACGTTCGCGGAACTCTTGACGACTGCAGGCGTTCCACCCTGTCGGTATGCAAAGCATGCGCTGCCTTGTCCGAGCTGCAGCTGCGTAGTCAAAGAGACTTAGATTCACTCAGATGTGCATGATGACTCTTGGCCCAGCTACAGTCTCTGCTCCGCAGCCGGGACCAGGGGGGAGCACCCTCAACCCGACACCCGAACCGCTCCTGGCTTGCCAGTTCGAGATCACCCGATCCAGCGCCAGCATCTGAGTGGCATAGCGTTCCGCCTTCACTTGCTCGCCGCTCCTGAGTCGGATGCTCCGACTGCAGTAGCAGAAATAATAACCGTGTCAGAGTATCCGAAGGCTAGAATGAGTAAGACTGCTGCTGCTGGTGCTGGAAGCGCACCGGCCCTCAAGAAAGATGTAGGTACAATGACAAGTAATTGTAATCACAAGGCTAAATGAGCATCGCCATCGTCCTGGTAACCATCATTTTGCTAGGTACTCGCGTGTTTGGCACTTGACGGTTCTAGAGATGTTCTAGAGGCACTCTTGCTCTCACTCGGGTTCGTCAGCTGCAAGGAAGGTGTAAATCCCTAGCCGTAATCCCTTAGACTCGCTTCTGTCAGCCGGAGTCTCTTTTCAGGCTTCTCAGCCGCTGGGCTAGCGGTTGCCCCAAGCCAGGCGAAATAACCGGTGGACTCTTTCGGCTGCTCCTCATTGGGCTCCTCATTCTCTTCCATCCTGTTCTGGCCCTGCCCTCGACCTACATAGCTTTGTTGAGCCGCGACAACCAGGCATGTCTGATGCAGTCTTCAAGCGCATGTTCAATTGCCAGAAATTCCGATACAGTACAGCCCGGGCCACTGGAGAGCGCAACCTAGGCTTAGCTTCAGGCAACTCGGTGAGGACCTGTCCATCGAAGCAGTCCGCAGTGGGCTCCTGTAGGGACCCCAAGACGTCAGAGCTGTTACGCTCTCCAACTTGGACTCTGCCAGACATCAGAGCGTTTACGCTCTCCCAACTCGGACAAGCCGGGCGAGGTCTCACAGGTTTGAGTCGGCGTGACTCGGCAAAACACAAATCTGGCGACACTGTCGTACAAGCTCTGACGTTTAGATTTTGGCTTTCTTGGCTTTGGATCTTTTGCTTTGGGGTATTTGAGCTTGACTTCACCTGGCTCAAATCAGCACAAAGCCACTCACACACCCACGCCCGCTCCAAACCGTAACATGCTGGCTTTAGATTCTTGAACCACTGGAAACGTCCGAGGGAATCGGGTAATGTCGAAGTGCACGCTTGTCGGTAGGGGGACTTTCTTTTTGCTGACTCTTTTGGACATGACTGGCGGAACTTGACACAGCCAGGCTTGGGAAGGTTGCAGATTTTCCTCTGCACAGGCACTTCTTCCGAAACAGACAATTACACATGCTGCATCGTGACGGCCCTCGCGAACTGGACTCAGGGGTGCATAACACGAGAGAGAACAGCAACACGAGTTCTTACGAAGTATAAGCAATGACAAATCAAAACAAGGGCTGTGGACTAACATATGATCTTCGACAAACTCCCTCGCAACCGGAGCTCCTTGCAGCAGCGATCGAAGCTGAGGCCCTTCTCGCGGCGAGACTTGGCAAAGCAAAGACTGTTCCCTGCCGGCAGTGGTCAGTGTCAGAGACAAGAAACAGCAACAGCAACTGCCAAGCAGCATGTCATACGATTATCTTTCTTTTATCGTCAGAAGAAGATGAACACCAACAAGCATTGTCGCCGATATGCCATGCAACATCTCTACCTTTGCGAGCGCTTATGATGATACCGATAAGTATGATAATGATAATGATGGTGATGATGTCGATGATGCTTTCGCTGGCAGCGGTGGTGGTGCTGGTGGTGGACTCGTTCTGGAATTTCTGCGTGTTAACATACGTACTTTCTCCCACCCAGTCCACTTGTGACCCCCTTTGTCACATCCACAGAAGAGAAACACGGAATCGAGGCCAAAGCCTTCTACGGAAACATGTGGAAGGCAGAAGCTTAGGCTAAGGGTCAAGCTTACGCGGGGTGGGTGCTCCAGCGATTCTTTTGCTCACTGTTTTACATACTGTACATGAAGTCCGAAGCGTGCAAGATTGCCCTTTGGGCAGCTTACGCACAGCTCGCAGACTGACGGGGGCGGCAAACCAAGGCTTCGTGTGGGGCGATGTCAGTGACATGCGTGGTTTTCTGTTTTGGCATCTCTTTCTGAGCATCGTACCAATGACCAAAGGGGTTTCATGTGCCAGGACTTTGAAACTAAGGATCTTCAAATTTACCCTTCCACGATCTCCTCGGATTGCCAAAGCTTCGCTAGCACTCGCGGAGGACGGTCAGCAGTAGTAATCATTGCCTGCTCGGAGCTCGGACTATGGCACACTTTTTGTAAAGCTTTCTCTCCTCCGTAAATAGCCCTGGCAGACTGCCAAGAGCTAGGGGCGTCGGATTTGGTGAAACATCTGAAATTTGAATGCCGTGGTCCTGCACGAGGGTAACCGGCAAACCTGCAGTCGCTCGTGGTCACGAAGCTTGGGCTGCCTGGCACTCTGTGCACACAAAGCCTGCATCCGTTTTGGCGAAGGACCCCGAGATCTGTCCACCACAAGATGAGCAGATTAAGCACTCCGGATGGTAGCTGTCGTCCCCTACCTTTGCGACCATGCCCACCACTGGCTTGCCACAAGCTGCGCAGGCAGGGGCGGCAGAAAGGAAGCACGCTTCGCACAGCATTTTCGAGTCCCCGTCCTTCTCATAGACCTGGACAGAAACAGGGCTTGGAGAACCCTGAAGTGCATCCCACAAGCCCAGGAGCCCTTTTTTGCCCCCTCATAGTTTACACCGACCTGTTGCCCTGGCTTAAACGGGAGCTGACAGGAGCTGCAGCGGCCCAAATCTCGGCTCTTCAGCTCGGGCGGCTTGATCCCGCGGGCCTGCACGGCAACAGAGTTTGGGTTGACTTTTTGGGCCATTTTGGGCTTTCAGCACTCACTCTCGAACATGTCTGGGCATTTTGGGCTTTAGGGTTTAGGGATGTTTAGGGTTTAGGGTTGACTTTTTGGGCCGCACCCTGAATATCCCTGCCTTCAGGCTTCCTTCCACGAGCGCGGCACCCTCGAAGTCACCGGCCGAGAGTAGCCGCCGCAGCTCCCGTAAGTCCTTGTCCACTTCATCTGTGCAGGAGCCGCAGCAGATACCACAGTCCATCTTGGAGAGGGCACCGTCTATTACCTTTGAGCAGATCGCGCATTTCAAACACTGTTGATGGTAGGCATCGTCGCCAACCTTGGCCATGGGCCCTGATATCAGCTTGCCGCAAGCGACGCAGTGTGGTGCTACGTCGGACCAGCATCCACTACAGAGCACTTGCTTCAGGCCTGCGATGGTGCTTTCATAGATGCTCTGCCCCTGCTGGAACTGCGCCCCGCAAACGCTGCACCGCTCCTGCCCGTCGGGTCCCGTCTGTGCAGAGGCAGCGGCCTTTGCAGACTTCGAAGGTTCCTTGGAAGGCTCTGATGTCGGCTCCTTCATAGGCAAGGGCTCCTTTGCGGCAAGGGGAGTTGGCTCCTCCACTGTCTTGAGAAGGGCCTCCAGCTCCTCATCGAGGCTCATCGCCTGCTGCAGTTCTTTTGAAGGCCTTCGGCCCCTTCGCCCTGACTCCGAGGGGAAGGGCTCTGCAGCCGATCGAGATACGGTGTCAGCAGAATTCTTGGAGGCAGCAGCTGTGGCTTTGCCAGCAGCTCCAGTCTGCTCCAGCTGCAAACCAGAGTTGGATCGCCCACGAGGAGGTCTCCTCTGGTTCTCCACCCCGGACGCATTAGACGGTACAACGTCCACAGGCGCTGCAGTTTTTGGCCAATCAACTGGAGCACGGCTTACCGATCCCGACCGTTCGCGTCGTTCGGGCACATGCTTCGAGGCCTCTTTGCTCAAGTCACTAAAAGCTCGTGCATCCTCTACGCCAGAGGTCACAGGAGCTCCCGGTGCTTGGGGACCAGGCCTCGGCTCTCCAAAAGTGCGGGGACCCGGTGACAGGACAGTTGCACCGGTAGACTTCAGGACGGAATGGTTTGCTTGCCTCTTCATGGCGCGGAGCCCATGCGGTACTATAAGGCAGCCGAAACGTCAGCCGGAAATGCCACAAATGAGCGGACTCAAAGGCAAGACTACTTTAAACTGCTCTTGCTATCTTACGCTGGGATAAGATGTTCCGCTATTCCACTCAGCAACTCAGCAACCCATGACAGCAATACTCTGGGCGGCCTGATCCTGCCTCTGACCGGCGTGCAAGCCACCTGGCCAAACTGCGCTCCTGTGAACCGTTGAAGCAAACAGACACACGACAGCAGGGACCAACACGACCTGACCAATCCACTGCTTATCACTCAGGTGAGTCATGCATCGAACATAATTTCTCGAACTGTTTCGACATGATAGGGCCATTATAATTAGAGTAGAATATGCCCCCAAAACCTAGCAGGCCGAGTTGTAGGTGCGGCCTTCAGCTTGCATCTCTTCATGCAAGCTGCAAGCTCTCCTCTGGACCACGGAGAGCACTGTTGCCAGCCTGTGTCAGAAAGGTTCAAAGGGTTAAATTGGGGCTGCTGGCTCTGTGCTTGCGACAAACGGAAGAACTACCCCGTTCTCGAAGTGGAGTTGGCATTCGGTACAACTCTCACGATTCAAGCTGTTTCTGCCAATCGGACGCAGCCCGAATTTCATCCCTTTCAAACGTCCGGTATATTGTCGGAAAGGACTCGCAAAATACAAGATGCCGAAACTCCAGAAAGCTTCAGCCCCACGCAGCTCGCAACCCCCCCTTCTCCGGCCCAAACCACACAGGAGACCTGTGACAGATAGCAAGACACACAACACGAACGCGCACCAATGCCTCAGCCAGGTCTGTAGACCCCAGCTTAAGTTCGCCTGGCCGAAAGGGTCAAACATGCATGCACAATGCAAGGCCAATGTCGACCCTGCATGAGCTCCGAGCATTCCGTCGATTTGAAGCGAGATGAGCTTCTCTTTCCGAAACTTGCTTTCAGCAATCTGAGAGGAAGATCAGGCCCAAGCTAGCTGTTGCCGCAACAGTCCCTTACACCGCAATTCGCCTAGACATTTCCGTAAGTCACGAGGGCTCGGCACTTGGCTCCCAGATTGCATCTCGTGTCAAGGCTGCTCAAGCAAGGTGCCACTGAACGAAAAACTGGCAAAAACCCAAAACACAACTAACATGATGATAAGTCTCTCGATTGTAACTGCAATATTCCGAGTAGTCATGTTGGAACTTTGCAGACCAACCTTGGCTGGTCTGACGATCGCTTGGCAAGCTAGAGTCAAGGTCGGGCAGTGCCGTCGCAATGGTGCTGAACATATGCATTCTCGTGCGACTTAATCTGCGAATGCTACCCGCTCAAGGCAACTTTGCGACATGACACATCCCCATTCGTGCATCTTCAAGCGTTGGTGACATGATGGACTCAGCAGCTGTCCTAGTTTTAGGCGCTGCTGATCGACTAGAAAAATCGGCGCTGACTCTCTGAATGCCTGAATCTTCTGCTCAGTAGGCTGTATTGTAAGGCCGCAATGATCAACCACAGGTGCGGCAGGCAGATGGTCATTCCGCAGACAAGGCACAGCTTCTTACTTTCCACTGGCTGACCCCTTCGAGCTTGAGCTGAAAGGGCAAGCCATGGTAATAAAAGCAGTATTCTGCAACACCTCATAATCACTGGCACAAGATGCCGACAGATTGGATTCACAGCGCCACGTCAAGCTGCGGCCTTGGGCAGGAAACTGCCAACCGCGCTCTGTACTTCGGCAATTAGCTACCGTACATCTCTGGCCCAGTCTGCCCTGTCGAGTCGGTGGGCTGATGCTGACATCTTAGGCCTGCTTGTTGCGGCCAAGCCGCCAAGTAGCTTCTACTGCGAGGCCTTCGCCGAGAAACAGCCAAATAAAGACCTGAAGAATCCTGCACCTCAGACAGAGCTCGGCTTACCGTCCCTTGTAGTTTTTCGCCCGATGCTGCAAAGAGGCGTCAAAAGTTAGGCGGTCTTATGCCCTACAAACGGCTCAGCGATGCTTCGTGTTGCCTTCAATCAAATTGACAAGCTCGTGTCCAACCATGACCGGCCACGGTTAGGCGGATTCCCCGACCCAGAAGGCTTGCGTGGATTCGGCGATACCTGTGATCGGGGCTCGTTGGAAACGACTACAAGAGCAATTGGGGTAGAAAGTGTGCTATATCTTGCCGTCGTCGATGTCGTGTCCGTAGCACTAGGAGTAGTACTGGTGGTGGTCGCAGTAGTCTTCGTAAGTAGCGGCAGCAGCAGCAGAGGTGGTGGTGCAGTAGCACTGGCAGTAGCAGTGGCGGCAGCAGCAGTAGCGGTAGCAGGAGCAGCAGCAGTGGCAGCAGCAGTAGCAGTCGCAATGGCAGTGGCTGTGGCACGAGCACTAGCACTGGCAGTAGCAGCAGAAGTGGCGGTAGCAGTAGCAGCAGCAGCAGCAGCAGCAGTAGCCGTGGCAGCCGCAGCAGCAGGGGTAGTAGTAGTGGTAGTCACAAGTGGTAGTGGCAGAAGTGGTAGCAGTGGTAGTAGTCGTAGTCGTCGTCGTCG